CCTTGGAATCCTGTGTAGCCTCAGGATCTCGGGGAAACCTCACATTTGACGCATCCAACCGCACTCCAAAGGATTAAGTTTAAAAGTTTAAAAAGTTTGAACCCCATCAGAGGCAACGCTCCCTTGCCTCTGTTCAAGCAGCAGCCTCGGTTTTTGAGTTCGTCCCCATTCGTCGGGGATAAGCGCATTGGACCAACTGTGGCGTCAATGGAAGTCTGGGCTACACGCTCCGGTACCTTTAGTTCATAAAACAAAAAAAAATTAGGCTTCCAAAATTGCATTCTGCTCAAAAATTGCATCTAATAACTACTGGCAGCAGTTTGTCTCGGGGAAAAAGAAAGGACCACAAATATATGTTATTGAAAAACAAACGATGCTTCTTAGAACCACTGAATTTTAAATGCAGCAGCAAGAAGTGGGAATTTAGATAAGTCACCGAACAAGACCCTGGCAGTTGGAAAAATGGAAGATTTAAAAAAAAAAAAAAGGTGGATAAAAGGTTGATAAAATGTTATGGATGACCCAAAAGGCCAAAGGGCTTACTGACCAAACATCTTGTGAAATGTCTATTGAATCACGAAGAGTTGCAAACTACCTACTGAGCAACAGGAATAATTAACAGCAAGCAGTTAATGGCTCCCTACTAATTAGTGGAGTATGCCTCACCTCAGGCAATAATATGGCTGGTTTCGCTGTGCCTTAGTGTGTTGTCGGGCAGACCAGCCATCGTGGTTTGCAAAGCCTATCTTTTTGCATGAAGTAAACAAGCATTCCATTTGATGGATCAGGTTAACAGCTAAGTGTCACAGGTACTCCCTAGAGCAGTTCAACAACTGCGTGGACGTCAACTCCCAGAATCCCCCAGCCAGCATGCTAGGGAATTCTGGGAGTGTGCTGGGTAGGGAATTCTGGGAGTTGACGTCCACACATTTTAAAAGTTGCTGAGATTAAGAAACCGTGCCCTGGATGCTCGTAAGACATTTCTGCTATCCCAGAGAAGAGCTGTGAAGAGGTCTTGCATTCTAAGCTTTTCTCATCATAGGATGAAACTGAAAATCCAAAATAAGCGCTATAAAACTGCAATGGGACGCAGCACACTGGATTAGAAGAGTGATACTGAAAAGGTGCGTGTGCTTCCTTCTCACCCCCGTCCGAAATCTTACGAGGCTCCTAGAAGGCAAAGCTCTTTCAACAAATGCTCCGCTAAGGAAGGCTATCAGGAGCAGGAACAAATTTATCTCACGGTTGAACTGTTGGGGCCTTGGTGATCTCTAGCCTGGTTGTTTTCCTGCAGGCTAAGTAATGTCATCAGGGCACTGGGGAGGCGGGAGTTGGCTGGCTGCTTATACGTAACAGCAAACTCCCCTCTCCTACGCACTGATGTTACCTAGCCAGGTAAGGAAACGTCGGCAGGAAAACCACCAAACTCAGAGAAGAACCACCCAATAATTAAGGCTTGTATCTGTTCCACCAAGATAGGATGGGTTGTGAAGAAGCAACGTACCCCAAATCTCAGCCTGAAAGGTTGCCCCCTCTTGTGATCAACAAAACAATACACTTTGATGGTACCCACATTCAAATTTATTGCAGAGGAAGCTTTCACCTGAATGAAAATGAACCTCCAAGTATGTTTTGGTCTTTTGGAGACTTCCTTTTATTGGGGAGGAGGGAGAAGAACAGGAGCCCAAAAGCTTGGAACAACGACACTGAAGAAGTTAGCGGTGCAACAGAAGAAGGTGGAGTCAAGCGAATGGCTATTTATTCTAAAAATGGAAGTTTTCCAACCTACATATGCCAGAATTGTTAAGAAAAGAAAGTTACAGATGTAAACAACCACAGTTACATGTTCAATGGCAACCCCCCGTTTTTTTTTCTTTTTTTTCTTTACTGGCCGCTTAAACGTTTTACAATTTGTAAAAACATTTACCGCCTTCCGTTTCGCTTGAGCTTTCTGTCTACAGCAACTAAGACGTACAATCATGAAAAACACTAACAGATTTTAAACAGGCTGAATTTTTTAAAGGGTTTTTTTTTTAACCATTTGACTTTTTTTTCTTTTTTTTTTCTTTTTTTTTTATAAAAATGTGCAGAAAAGAAAAGACATCTAGTAAAGTTGCTAAGAACTCTTAACTCTCTCTCTCTCTCTCTCTCTCGGTCTGTTGGTCTAAGGGTGCAGCAGTTTTACTCATCCCCAGCCCAGAAAGCCAGATCTTTCCCCTTCTTTAAGGTCCCATCTGGAAAAGGACCATCGTTCCAAAACAGCAGCAATACCTTGAAAATACAGAAGCTAACTGGGCCCTTCCTCCGGCACCTGTTCCCCTTATCCTGTGAGTCCAACAGGTGCAACCAAGGAGAGCCTTACTGTTATCTCAGCACCTGGCACTCTGCACGCTGGCATGGATGCCCACCACCAACTTTTCAGAGCCCCAAACGAGCGCAAACTCATTTAAGCGGTCAGCTGCAGAAGTTACTTATAAGCACAGATTTTCTTCCCTCTCTCTCAACATATGCGCTGTTCTTCTCCAGAAGAATCTTTTCCAATGACCTTAAGTATTTAAAATACCAGTTAACTTTAGTTATAAAAACAGTTGTGACACAACCACACGCATGCACGGAGATAGAAGAATCCTGCCTCTCCTTCCCCCGACCCACATCAGCTTCCTTTTTCTAACCACCGAGGCACCTCTGGGAGCTGGCAGGACTCTCAGTCTGGCCGGAATGCAGGAAGAATGGGGATGGAATAAGAGCTGCTTGCAAAGACTGGGAAGAGATTTCTGGAGAATCTATTCTTAAAAAAAAAAAAAAAAAAAAAAGCCAA